AAAAAAAAAAAAAAAAAAAAAAAGAAGAAGAACAGGCATATGGATTCCGGAAGCAAAGCCTCAATTTCTCAACCAACTCATTTTCGACAAAACCTCCACCACCAACCACTGGGGTGAGGGGGACCTACTCAGTAAATGGTGCTGGGAAACTGGTTGACCACATGCAGAAGATTAAAACAAGATCCCTACCTATCACCATACACAAAGGTCAACTCTAGCTGGACTCGGTGGCTCAGCCTGTAATCTATGCCTTTGGGAGGCTTAGGTGAATGGATTGCCTGAGCCCGCGGGTTCGAGACCCGTCTGGGCAGCGAGACCTCATCTCTACAATAAATCAAAAAATTAGCCAGGTGTGGTAGCGCGCGCCTGTAGTTCCAGCTCCTTGGAAGGCTGAGGTGGAAGGATCGCCGGAGCCCAGCTGGTCGAGGCTGCGGTGGCCGGGAGCGGCCACTGCACTCCAGTCTGGGTGACAGAGTGAGACTCCATCTCAAAAAACAAACAAACAAAAAAAGGTCAACTCTAAATGGATCAAAGAATTAGATGTAAAACCTCAAACTATAAGAACCTTAGAAATTACAGGAGACACCTTCATGAAATTAGAACTGGCAACCAATTCCTGATCAAAACCCCAAGTGCTCATGCCATAAGAGATAAGATAGAAAAGTGGGACCTCATCAAACTGACAAACTTCTGCAAAGTCAAAGAAACTATCAAGAGAGCAGGGAGACAACCCACGAACTGGGAAAAGATATTTGACAACTGCGCATATGACAAAGGCCTAACTAACATCTAGGATCTACAAGGAATTCAAATGTGCCAAAAAGAAACAAGAAACAGCTCCATTTCAACGTGGGCAAAAGATATGAATAGATATTTCTCATAAGAAGACATACAAGTAGCCAATGGATACATGAAAAACTGCTGAGCCTCACTAGTCATCAAAGAAATGCAAATTAAAACTACACTGAGATACCATCTAACTCCAGTTAGAATGGTCAACATTAACAACTCAAAAAACAACAGATGCTAGAGAGGATGTGGGGAAAAGGAAGCATTTCTACATTATTGGTGGGAATGTAAACTAATACAACCTCTGTGGAACACAGTCTGGCTAATCCTAAAAGGTCTAAAAATTAATCTTTCATATGACCCTGTAATCCCCCTACTGGGAATATACTCAGAGGAACTCAAATCACTCTACGAGAAAGATACCTGCACACACATGTTCATTGCAGCATTGTTCACAATAGTAAACCAACCATGCTGCCCAACGAAAGATGACTGGATAAAAAAAAGATGTGGTACATATACTCGATGGAATATTACATAGCCATAAAAAAAGGACAAAATTATGAACACAGCAATTTGGATGGACTTAGAGTCTATAATACTGAGTGATCTATCACAGAAACAAAGAACTGAGTATCACATGTTCTCAATCATAAGTGGACCTTGAACAATTATCATAATACTATAAGAAAAGGATTGTCAGTATTAGGAGGCGGGACGGGATTGGCAGTAGTAGGATTCTGCGGGGGGTGGGGGGTGCACACTTCATCAACAAGGGTACCTGCAAAATGAACATTTGTGTACTTAACCCTAAATTGCATACCCCACATCTTTAAAAATTAAAAAAAGAAGTCATCTACCTCCATTTTCCAAAGTCATACTCTCATAAAATGTTAATTAATGTGCTATGAAAAATCAATGCTATTCCAAAAGGAAAGTTATGATAAATTCAACTAACTAAATTGTTTAAGAATGCATGTTACTTATGAAGTAAGGACATAAATATATAGTAGCTTTGGTCCCATTTATTCAACAATGACTTGAGAAACACTATGTGCTAGTTCTCTTTCAGGCAGTGAAAATACAACTTATAGAGAAATATACTAAACTGGGAAGCAAATAAAGAATTTAATTTAAACTGTGATAAGGTCTATGCATATAGAAACTATATTAAAAAACTACTGTCCTGGGCACAGTGGTGCACATCGGTAGTCCGAGTTACTTAGAAAGCTGAGGCAGAAGGACTGCCTGAGCCCCCAGGAATTCTAGGCTACAGTGTCTGGGTGGCTGTAAGAGAGAGTTAGACAGTTATGAGCCAGACTAGTTGAATATATTGAGGTTTTAAGTTGCTTTAAATGGCTAAAAATAACTTTACTGTATGGGAAGCATGACTAGCCATTGTACTCCAGCCTGGGCAATACAGCAAGACCCTATCTCTTAAAAGAAAAACAAAACAAAGCCATAGAAAGTGAGCCAGAAGAGCTGACAATGGGTGGTAAGAGAAGGCTTTGAGGAGATAGTATCTGAGTAGACACCTGAGAGGTGTCAACTTATAGATAAGTGAGATTCATTTTATAAAAGATAATAAAATTGTAAGGTAAAATAAGTACACAGTTAACATTTGAAGTTAACATGATAACACCGTTATACAAACTTTTTTTTTTTTTTTTTTTGAGTTGGAGTTTCACTCGGTCGCCCAGACTGGAGTGCAGTGGCCGCTTCCGGCCACCGCAGCCTCGACCTGCTGGGCTCCAGCGATCCTTCCGCCTCAGCCTTCCAAGTAGCCGGAATCACAGGCATACGCTACCATGCCCAGCTGATTTTTTTGATTTATTGTAGAGATGAGGTCTCGCTGCCCAGGCGGGTCTCGAACCCGCGGGCTCAGGCAATCCACTCACCTCAGCCTCCCAAAGGCGCGGGATTACAGGCTGAGCCACCGAGCCCGGCTCTATACAAACTTTTATACATTGAATACTTAACACTCACAATAGCACCATTAAGTAGTACTATTATTTTCCCCATTTTGTGGATGAGAAGTAGGAATTTAGTCATTTGCCCAAATTACATAATTGAAAAAGGTAGAAAGTTTGATCTCTGAGTGTACTTTTTTTTTTTTTTTTTTTGAGTTGGAGTCTCACTCTGTCACCCAGACTGGAGTGCAGCGGCCGCTCCCAGCCACCGCAGCCTTGACCTGCTGGGCTCCCGCGGTCCTTCCGCCTCAGCCTTCCAAGTAGCTGGAACTACAGGCGCACGCTACCACGCCCGGCTAATTTTTTGATTTATTGTAGAGATGAGGTCTCACCAAGTTGCCCAGGCGGGTCTCAAACCTGTAGGCTCAGGCAATCCTCATCTTCACCTCGGGCTCCCAAAGTGCTGGGATTATAGGTGTGAGCTACAGGGCCTGGCAGAGGTGATATAACGCTTCCCATACAGCAAAATTATTTTTAGTCACCTGTAGCAAACTGAAACTGCAACACAGTCAGCTAGTGTAACAAAACAAAACTGTCTTTTTAGCTCTCTCCTCCAGCCATTCAAGATGCTGAAAGAAGGCCAAGGAGAAGAAGGTGTCATGAAGAGGCAGGAGGCCAAGAAGGTGGTGAATACCATCTGAGAACTGTGGCACTGGACAAGGCATCTAGCTCCAAAGGGGCCTCACCTGCTTTATCAAATGCCCTGCTACATCCAGTTGCAGCGACAAAAAGCTATCTCTTTTTTTTTTTGAGTTGGAGTCTAACTCTGTCGCCCAGACTGGAGTGCAGTGGCCGGCCCAGCCACCGCAGCCTCGACCTGCTGAGCTCCGGCAATCCTTCCGCCTCAGCCTTCCAAGTAGCTGGAACTACAGGCGTGCACTACCACGCCTGGCTAATTTTTATTTATTTATTTATTATAGAGATGAGGTCTTGCTTCAGCCTTCCAAATAGCTGAAACTACAG